ATCTAAAACAAAATGAATTAGTGCTAAAATTTGTTGAGTGATTCACGTTTACTAACTTTTCAGGATTGTTTTTTATATTTTGAAAATGCAAGAGTAATTATCAAGACTAATCAGTCCATGACCAAAATAAGCCAACAAACGGTTTTTTAACATTTACCAAGTCAAGTGGAGACTAACTAATTTCGAACTGTAACCATATCCAATATCTAGATTTCCATGATTTGTATTTTTACTATTTTACCGCCAGTTAGGTATTTTTAACAGAAAAAATATGTGACCTAAAGAGAAATGAAAAACAACAATAAATTGATATATATTTAATTATGAATTAATAAAAATACATTGATGAATAGTTCTTTATTATTACTGGTGTTTGAAAAGTACCAACTTTGTCAATTCTTTTCTAATTAACGTGCTTCTCTCCTCTTAATTTAGCATAAGATTATAATGCCAATTTCACTAAAAGACACGCATGATTATCGGCACAAGTCTAATTGGTCATCTCTTAATGACTTAAAAACATGTTTCTCCTCCCTAAACTTTAAAAATACGAATTTTTCGAAAAAGTTTTTTTCATTTGTAATTTTATTATTAGTTTTATTTATAAAAATGTTAATAAAAGTTTCTACATATCTAATAGTAGTTATAACATCTTCTGATGGTTTTATTAAACGACCTATATTTTTTCGATTTAAGAAAAAGAAACCAAAGTCATTTCTTGTGTCACCATCACATGTTTCTAGAAAATATAAGCACGTGTTGCACTTTATGATAGATTTCATTTTTTTAACAACAAATCCTGCTATATAAGTTATAATATTTTCTGTTACAATATCAACAGTGGGCACAGAAGAAAAAAAATCGTGATCATTTTGTTTATCATCACAGAGGCCATATTTTTTTCATAGTCTGTGCGCCGATGCGTCGGCTATTTATATTAAGTCCAACTCTACTAGAAGTCTCCAGACAGTCTCAAAAATTCCATCTCTGACTCAACGGCACACTTCGCTTGTTCTATCCGTTTCTCGAGCTTCAGCGGCATTCCCAGAACATTCCGTTGTCTCGAGCATGAGTCGGAGCCAGCTGAAGGTCGTGCTTAGACAGAATCGGATTAGAAATTTCATGACAGTTCTTACATCTCGCCTTGTTCGTTTAGGGCTACCTTTTAATCCTTCGTTGTCTGAAGATGAAGTTTTTTATTTTGATCTTCACTGAAATAGAAAAGAAATTATTTTTTAAAAATGCATTTATTTCTCAAAATAAATCGTGTAATATCATTTTGTTTAAACAAAATATGTTATGTACATTCAGCAAATGGTATAAAATAATAAACTGTCTTTACTGAACTGAATTACAAAAATTCAATTCAGCAGGTTAATGACTAACGTTATTTTTTGTACAGACTTATAGTTCTCCAGCTAGACATGATTGCAGAAGTTATAGTTTTAAATAAGACAAAAAATAAAAAGTTGCATTAATTATCACCTCAATGAAATATGATATGCCTGGGATGTAGAAGCAACTGAAACCATAGCTCTGAAAATAAAAAAAATAGAATTATCTTCTTTTGTAAGAAAGATTTAAACATTAGAAACTTTATTTCCACTTCATTAAATTAATTCTTTATTATTACTACAAATAGAATTAAAAAATAACCTACATGTTCAAAGTTTTATAAGTTTTCTATTACCGGCCAATACAAAACTATTATAAGTAAAGTGTTCTGAGCAAATTGTTCTGTTTGGTTTGAAGGGTAATGGATTTGGAGCTAATCTTCCTAAAATCCTCATCCAAGTCTCGAATTGTTCAAAAGGAATTCTAAGATAATACAGAAGATATTGTTAATACTTTTTGAAAACTTTTGAGTACCTATGTCTTAACTATGCGCAGTGTGAAAATAAATCTACTTAATTAATGTATAGATCAAGTGAATAATATCTCGAATTATCCTATATTAGTCGCACATGTATTATAAAAAAATCGCGTGATTACTCTTTTTGCTAACCTTATCTTTATAAAAGGTTTAATAAACCTACAATTAACATAGTATACCTACTTACCTATGGAAAGAAACTTCTGGATTAAATACATCTGTTCGATTACTACAACATAGTATGAAGCACTTTATAGTGTTCCTAGAACATTTACACTTATTAATTTCGACTGAAACACTTTTAATTAATAAAATCACTTACAAATTGTCTCTGTTTAATACGCAACTAAAATAAAAAACGTTCCAATAATATTAATTAAAATACCTCGTTATTATTAAAAAAAATATATTAAAACTTAGGTATACGCTCGTAAAAATCGTGACGTAGAATGACGTAAAACTCTTAAAATTGATATAGTGGCGCCAAATTGTCATGCGCACCGACCAATTTTTTCACCCATGTCGGCTTAGAAATTAGGATTTATGTCATATAGCTATCCACTTTAATATTAAGGTCGGTGCAATCGATAAGAGTAGGTATTATTGTTATTCAGAAATGCATATTAAATATAATATGTTGATGGTGGGTGGGGCTTTCCTCATCTGTAACTTAAATGACACCATCAATCATCTTTAGGTGGTCCCCGAGCGCCACGGCAAATAATTATAGTACCCATCCCTACTCCGTACAAGTTCTGATTCTGGTGTTAAAAATTGACTCGTAAGGGAGCGATTAGGTAGGGTATTATATTATTATTATGATTTTTTTTTAATTGTAACACTTATGAACATATTATGGAATTTATAAACCTATTAAACTTATAACAAACTTCTTATTAATGGGATCAATGGCTTTTTGGATATAATATAATAATATACAAAAATCACACAGTTAATGTGATGTCCGTATATGTGTGGAGTGACGATATCGATTTTCAGTTAGACAGAGAAGGGCATAAGGTCTTTATTCCTTCGGTTTCGCAATCTGATGTGGGCAACATTAGTCTTGGCTTGCCGTGGCTCGTTGCTCGCGCCTTATGGCGTCCTAGATCGGCCGCCGAATAATCGCCTAAATGCCTACGTAATGAAACATTTGAAGCATTTCTGGCGGCCGCTTTGATGGCTTTCGGGAAAATTGGAAAATTACGTTATGCGAAAAATTCACGGATAGAGGGTTGGTTTTTCTTTTACAAGATGTATGATGTGTTTTTGATATGATTATAATTACTAAATTCCGAAAATGTACAGGAAAATATAGAACAATCTACATCTACAAATAGTGTAAAACACTATTAGTTACTTGTTTACAATTTGTAGTATGTCTTTTATATTTTTACTATTTTTTTACTTTTGTCAACCAATGGAATTACCTCTAATTGAAAATCTGAAGAAAACAGATATGCATTTTTTTGTGTGGGGGAAAAATTTGACCAATTTAAAATAAAATAGAACTAAAAGATAAAAATCTGAAATTTGTTTCGCCTCAAAGTCCAATCAATCGTACCAGAAGTTAAGTCTAGCTCTTCTTTGTATTGGGGAGGAGGGATAAGTAGGGGGAGGAAAAGTCCCGCTATTAATTTTTTCTGTCCTTTAGGCATGGCAGAGGAAGAGGGGGGAAGTTGTGGGAGAAGTAATTTTTTTTTCGTTTTTCATTTATCGTGATCCTCTATCCGTCCATGTAATACTGTTCATGTCGTTTCGAAAATATTGGGTGTTCATGTTCGCTATAACCAATTTCATTAGTTAATCATAGAAATAGGTTCACAAACAGATGAGAAAATGGTTCTTAAGTATTTTGTTTTTGCCTATTTATATATAGATTCAAATTTGACTGTGCAAATAAATAACAAATTGCCAAAACGCCTTCAAACTTGAAAATAGACAATACATTTTACATTAATGTTTATACTCAATTGAAAATAATATTTCTAGTCGTAGAACAAATAAATAATGATCTAGTCAGAAACTGAATTTCCTACATGATGAGGACACTCTATATAAAGTCGTTTCATGTATATTTGATGGATTACCGAGGTTCGGTAACTAAACCAACAAAAAACTTCGTTAGCTGATGACAATATCCCATTATTGGTGTTTTTTTTTGTCTTTCACCTGAATGAACTGTCTCGCATCGGCAGCCAATATCTCTGTCTCCGTTTCCCGGGTATAGACGCACAAATATTGATGTTGAAGTGTTGATTTTCGTTCTATTGTTTTTAGTTTTAGAATAACAGGAAGCGAGAGAAGTTCAGACTTCCGATATTTGAAGAGGGTTATGGATAGAATATCGATTGTGTTCTTTTCTTTATTTATAAAAACGGTAGATATGGTATGACACTAATATTATAGTGCCATTAATTTATCTTTTACTTTATTATGAATTTTCAAAAAGCACCAAAGAAATTTCGAAAATATTCAAACAAACCGCACACACTCCATTGTAAATATCATTCTGTAAATACGCAAACATTTCTAAACTGAACTCAAAATTCAAATTTGCTGGATTAGTCGAATTCTATTCATCAAAATCTGCCCCTTGGTCTTAAATTGTGTACTTCCGGTCCATGGAAAGGTGTTTTCAATTAAGGGCGGTTGAAAGGGGCGGGGACCGCCCTTTTTGTTTGCTGTAGTTCCCTGATGAGAGTCAAAGGACGCCCTTAAGTGCGGTTGTCGGTAAATGTTTTCCTAAAACAAGCTCCGGCTCCGTACAAATTTATAGGAAAACGGGCAAGAACGGGTTGTGTTAATAGGGAAAGTTGCCGATGATGATGGGAAGGAAACTGTTGCTTTTTTTTGTTGTTAAGGAGTTCGATTTTCAGATTTGAACATATTAACTAGTTGATAATGTAGCTTGAATTAAATCGTTAAAATATTTTAACGAATTTATATTAAATTTGTTTAAAGTAATAAAATAGATATTGAAAACAATATAAATGAAGATTATAAAGTTCGAAAGCGTTTTCTAAAAAAATCAAAGAGGTATTACACAAAATGTTCTACTTTGTTCATTTCAATCTCATTCATGAATAATTTATTTACTCTTCGTTTATTTATATTGTTCTTTCAGATAAAATTTGGCACACAGACTTAGACTTTATCGTGACGCATCGCGACAGGGTCGTACTGAACTTCAAAACTTCGAATACGACCATCGTACACCCGACGCCGGCTTTTCAAAAAGGTCCACCTCTTCCAGCGCCCATGGTGACCGCTCGACCGACAGCTATGCCCTTCGTCAGCGGCCCCGTAGTAGCGCACACCGTTATCAAGACTTTGAAGGACATTATTGGACACGAAAATCACACGTTATCTGAAAACAAAGAGATTGGTGAGTATATACCAAAGAATACTAAGAATTTTACTAAGTAACTACCCTTAAACAACATGCAGATTCGCTACAGCGTCAACAGCAAGGTCAAGGTGGAGTACAAACTAAAAACATTCAACAATACTATTAAGGGTCAATCTTTTCACCTCTAAGTAAAGTTACATGTAGATTTAGTTGACATATTAACAAACAATAGTCCTACAGTTTAATCAGCAAGTAGTTACTTTCAACTTTACTCAGAGGTGAAAAGACCGGCTCTTAAGAAAAAATTATACCATCTTTTATCTCCTCTTTGATACAATGTTTTTTATTCACAGGCATTGCAAGTAAAAAATAACAATAATCAATAGAATGCAAATTTTGAGCGTCTCTCCAACATCCTCCAATAATAGTGACATCCTGATAACGCAGAAATTTCAATGCCTTACCTCTAAACACACACATCAGCGTCTAGTGCTCAAAATCGGTATTTTATTATTTTGAGTTCTATCACTCACACAAACAAATATCTCGTTAACGCTGGCACTAAAGCTTGGTAATCAATCTGTTGACTCTGAATGGTACATTGTTTGCGGAAAATATTTTTTTATTACTGAAGGTTTTATTATTGACCTATAACTTCCCGTATCAATTGGAAGTTTTAGCTTTGGTTCACGTATTTCTATATAAGGCAATGAATTGTTTGAAATATTACGCAATTTCACTATCTTTTTGTTTTCAATATCTGAAAATTTTGTTCAAAGTCACCTTTTTTTTAATTGATTCATTTTCAAATTTAATTTGATTAGGATTTTCAAAATTACCATGATTATAATCCCCATTGTTGGTATTTAAATTGGTATCATTGCAAAAATTAGAATGTAATTCTTCAAAAGTAAAATTTGGTCTTGAATTATAATTTTGGAAATTTCTATTATCATAAAATTGTTTTTTTGATTGGAAAGAAGAGTTTCTTGATGTTGTTGACATTGGTTTAGACAATTGGCTTTCTGGAATTTGATTTAGCTTGAAAACATTTTTGGGTCTTAATGGTCCAAAACATTGTTGATTAGTAAAATATTTTTTATTTAATTGTGGCATTGGTTGTATATTTATAGGCTGACAAGGAAAATTATCAAAATTAGCTTTGTATTGATTATTTACTGGATTTTTAATAAAATATCTTTAATAATAATTTTGATTTCTGTATTGGGAATTTTCAAAATTATTTCTGGGATAATTATTTGAAAAATGATTATTTTGATAAAAATTTGCTTTGTAAAAATCATAATTTAGATTCATATTATTAGCATGTCGATTCATATAGGAATTATTATTTTTGAAAATTTTGAAAATTTTGAAAATGTCCAGTTTATTATAAAAATTTAAATTATGTTTTGACAGGTTTCTTTCATATTAATTATTATTATTATTATACAAGGTATCAAAATTTTAAAATTCGGAAACATAAGCAACAGCTTCTTCTAGCGACTCTGGCTTTTTCAGATGCATATTGTTTTTCAGTGTTCCCGTACATCCTGCAACGAATGTATTTAGAGCCGTTTTAGCATGATGATTACTTTGAATTTGTTTTATCCATTGGGGTTAAATTAGGATCATTACTTATTCGCTGAATAACACTACTTCTTAACAACTGTAATCTACTCGCAAAATTTATTAAATGTTCACCTTTTAGGGGTTTACTACGTGTCAATTCCTACACTAAACAATCTAAATCCCTTCGATCGGAGAAACATTGTAACAAAGCATTCTTTAAACCTATCCAAATATTAATTTCAATTCTGTTTCCTACCATTATCTCAGCTTTTGCTACTAATTTTTCGTAGATACATTCCATTATATGTGCATCCAATTCTGGGTCATTATATGTTCTATAAGTATCAATTAAACTTTCGCATCTATTTATAAATTTATTTAGTGAATTACTATCACCATCAAAAGTTATCTATTTTGGACTTAAAAAGATCCCAATTCACTTGTCTACGTTGCCTGGTGGAGGTGTCATGATTAAATTACTTTCTACACTATCTGATTTATTATCTTTTAACGATATGTTTGTAAATTGCTTAAAGAAAGTAACAATTTCTGATTCACTCATAAAATATAATCAAAATAAAATATAAAATAGTTTTAAAATTATATAATAGCACAATCTTTTTAATACCACTAAATTATAGGAAAGGAAAATTAAAGGATATTTGCTTTCTAATTGTCGTTTTGGATGTCCCAACATGGGATGGTGTCCAATCAACGATTCTTCTACGGGCTAACTAGACTATCGCCACAAAAGTTAATATTCTGCAACAGCGAACTCGATTAAACTTTTTCACGACTTGCGTGTATTCTACTGACTGCGCCAGTTATAAATTCCAAAACGGAACTTTTATTTTTAAAAATTTTATTAAGTGAAAATACAATTAAATGGATATCTAAGATAACTCTGGACTAAAGCCTACACTAAAGCTACCTCAAATAACAACAATATGGTTTTACTCCTATTTATACAGTAAAAATGATTATTAAGCAAATATAATCTAATTATATTAATGTTCACAATATACAGGGTGTCCTTTAAAATGTGTCCCAAAATTCTCAGGCAGATTCCTTAACCAAAAAATGGAAAAAAAGTTCCTATAGACCTATGTCCTAAAGTGCCCCCTAAGCGAGCAACAGCCTCTCGAAATCATTTTTTTTATTTTGATTTTTTGAATTTTCTTAAAAATGGAAACAAATAAAAGAACCAAATTTTGGCTGTTAAATATGATCAATAATAGTGACCTTTTGACACCTTCAAAAAGAAATTATTTCGTCAGGGGTGTACTTGGGAATTTTTTGAAAATTTTGATTATTCATAACTTTTTTGTGTTTTTGGTAATGACTTATCCATATTTTTTTTTACATTCTACATTGAAAACTACGTCAAAAAGGAATACTTGTTTGATCTCGATTGGAGCAGCCGTTTCCGAGAAAACATCATCCAAAGATATTCGTCCACTTTAGCTTAATTTTCAATTTTCCTAAATTACCTCGGTGAATCTCGTAAATAAAAATAACTTTTTTAGCTCTCTCTAAATAATTGTAGTTCAAATGTCGTGGTGGGACTATTTTTATTTAATAATAAGAAACGGTTTAAAAAAATATTTATTCTAAAAAAACAAATCAAAAAAAATTAAAGCAGATGCTCAATGTGGCGACCATTGGTTTCCACACACAAGCGCAACCGTCGCATCATAGACTGTCTTACACGAAAAAATACTTCAGGATTATTCCTAAGAACTTCGCAATGATGAAAAATTCGTTCTTACAATTCTTCAACTGTTTCAACAGGACTGGAATAAACCAATGATTTTAAATAACCCCAAACAAAAAAATCCATTGGATTTAGATCTGGTGAACGAGGTGGCCAGTTAACAGGACAACCTCTGCCAATTACTCTACCCTCAAATCTTTCGTTAAGGTGCTGTCTAGCTTCAAGGCTCTAATGTGGTGGAGCTCCATCATGCATAAACCACATGTTATGTCTGATTTGAATCGGAATATTATCAAGAAGCTCATGTAAGTTATTTTCCAAAAAAAGCCTGTATGCTGCTCCATTTAACCTATTCGGCAAAACAAATGGTCCAATAAGGTAATTATCAATAACTCCAGCCCAGACGTTTATTGAAAATTTATCCTGGTGGTGACGTTCAACAACCGCGTGAGGGTTATCTTCAGCCCATTCATGCATATTTCGAAAATTTATTATACCATCTCTAGTGAAACCAGCTTCATCGGTAAATAGCACTTTATTAAGAAACATTGCATCTTGATTACATCTTCCAAGAAACCATTCAGAAAAGATAACTCGCGGCTCATAATCAGTAGCTTTAAGTGCCTGAACTTTTTGAATGTGGTAAGGGTACAATTGTTGTTCACGCAAAACTTTCCATACCGTGTTACGTCCGACTCCCACTTTTGAAATTAAATGAGAGAATCTGTGTAGTGAATAGTTAAGAAAGAGAATCCATTGATTTGGGAAATCAGATTTTTTCTGCATAACGCAACTCTTTTCGATACGAAAAGTCGTGAAATGTAAGAGAAGCAATAACAAGTAAAAAAACTAGTTTTATACGATAAGGTACGGGGTAGCTAAAATAATAAATAAGTAATTACTTACCATTTGCTATTTTTCTGGTACTTGTCGATGGGGTTTCAGCTACCCTATCCAAAATTGCTTCTTCCAAAGCAGGAGTTCTCACATAATTTTGTCTTCCACTGTTACTAGAGTTTTTCTTAAATGTACCAGTTTCCCGAAGTCTATTGTCAATTCTAGAAAACGTCTTAGCGCATGGAAGATGCCTATTTGGAAAGCGCTCCTGATAAAGTCTGCGAGCTTCATTGGCATTTCCAGAAGCGAGTCCAAAACATAAGTGCATGTCCGTCATTTCGCCGAATGTGTAATCATTATTGTAGTTATTGTGAGCCATTTTAAACAAAATAATAACAATACAACGAATCGCACCAGAACACTTTTAGAAATAATGTTTAACTGAAGAAACATTTTTATCAGTGAGCGAAAAAAATTATCCATGAAACACAAAAACGCCAAAAAAATACATATTTTTACTTTTTTATTCTAAACAGCTAAATACAAACCTTATGGTCTTCATAATAAATAAATGGGAACTAAATTTTTAAATTTTATTTAGAGAGCTAAAAATAGTATACAGGGTGATTGATTAGTGTGAGGAAGCTCTGTAGATCTGTTATAATAAAAGCAGGCAGCTTTAAGCTTCACATTTTAAAATTAGTTACGATGTGACAGGGTGTTTCATAAGGCCGTGCCAAATCAAAGTTATGTTTTTTAAATGGAACACCCTGTATATTTTTATATTTTTAGAATCTGCTCGATAATCTGATTTCAATGATATATCACACTTGTTATCTAATATGAATAGTAAAGGATCTACAGCTACTCAAAAATCACATTTTTTCAAATTCAGGTGGCTGTTGTAGCCAAA